CAAACTAAGGGTTTAGGATTTAAGGGTTTAGGGCTTTAGGGGTTTGGGGGTTTAGGGGTTTAGGGTTTAGGGTTTAGGGCTTTAGGGTTTTAGGGGTTTAGGGGTTTAGGGGTTTAGGGGTTTAGGGCTTAGAGGGATGCAGCTGCTCTTTCCTGCCCGGGCGGCTCTGTGAACCAAGGGCCTCCGCTCCTCTGGCTCGTGCTCCATGGCCGTCGCCTGCGCAGGCGGAAGCCTCTTTTCCGGAGCCCCTAGGCCTAGGGGTCTCTGTTCCAAGGCTTCAGGGCTTCAAGGGCTCTATGATGACGATGATGATGACAATAATAATGATAGTGATGGTGATGGTGATGATGGTGATGGTCCTGAAAATGCGAAGGATGCGATGACTTGCAAGACACCCATAGGAGACCTGCGCATGTTTCTCAACGCCTTCATAGAAGAACTTCAGGATTTGCGGGAGTAGTTGTGATTAAGGCGTCTTTCGGCCTTCAGTCCCTATGAGCCCCTTTTGTGTAGGGTTCAGGGCTTAGGGTTTTATGGTGTAGAGAATCTGTGCAATGTTTCCACGGCTCATGGGGTGTGGCAACACATGATTCCTGTCGTCGGACTCAATAAAGGTCTGAGGGCTCTGAAAGTCTGATCACGATTGCAGAAGCAAGGATCATAAAACGTCAGACGGCCTTGCCATTGGAACTTCTTGCTCCACGGAATGCTTGAGCCAGGCATAAGCTGCCAAGGTGTATGCTTGGCCTTCCGTGCTGCATCACCGACTGATGCTCGTAGATGAAAGCCAAACCCTAAACTGCAATAGACTTGAGTGGCTGTGTCGTAAACAAGCCTCGGCTGCTGCTGCTGCTGCTGCTCCCAGTGCCGTGACTCACCATGCTGAAAGGTTGGCAATGCAGCCACCTCCAAGCCAAGACGTCGGCGGTCTTCCAGAGCTCCATCTGTCTCACCTCAAACTGACTCGAAACAGCCGGAAACCGATGTCCATGTCCCGATCTGACTTCGCCGACCCTTTGCCACAGGGGTGACGCAGAAGCAGTGTGGCCAAGTACGAAGGCGTTGTGCTTTGACTACAAGAACAACAAGCCGAGGAATGCCCGCGCAAGTTCACCGTTGGTATGCTAAGGAATCTGCTTGCCCTGCACTGGTGGCAGCTTTCTCAATCCATGTGTAATCTGAAATCTCGATGTCGCACATCTCAACCTCTCTCGTAGATCTAAGCTAGAATGAACATTGGTAAACATGGCACGCGAATGTCCAAGACACCCTTTTGGACATCCCCACCAGCCGCAGACACTGCAGCGGTTGGCTGGAGCTTGCTCTGACTTCGTGTCCCAAGGTGCTGCATGCACGGACCGAACAGCGAGCACCAGAACAGGCGGCCCAACATGAATCTCACATTGACATGACTTGGGCCCTCGGCAGAGAGACTCCAGGATGCAGAGGCCAAAGGGCCAGTTGGAAAACCGGGATCCGGCCTGGGCGAGGCAAAAAAGGCCCCGAACCAACCACACTGCTGGCCTTGAATGCAACCTGAATACGTTGATGAGGGTGTTGGAGGCCACAGGGTCTGGCCTGAGAAGCAAGGAAGCTCAAGACATCCACTTCATGTCAAGCGTAGATTCCATCTCGGCTCTGCATTGAGGGCAGAACTTCACACCGGCTTGCCGCATCGACAGCTCTGTCGCGAGGGCAGCGGGCCACTGCTGTGCTGATACCTCAGGAGCATTGCGGCATTGTGTCAGTCCTTGTTGTGTGACCGTAGCAGCCTTGGAATGGGGGGGCTGTGTGGGGAGGACTGTATTTCTGCACTCCTGCGCCCTTTCTTGGGTTGCTCCTCGAATCTCGGCATCCGGACACAGGGCTGCATCGCCGAGGTGAAGAGCACGGCATTCCTTCGAATGGACTGGGAGGCCGAACCTGACACAGTCACAAAAGCTCCACTTCCGCAGCCCAACATGTGTCTAGCCTTCCAGCAAATGTAGAGCTCCCCTCCAGTCTCGAAGTTTTCCAGCCGCAGTAATCAGTCTGGATAACCTGACCTCACAACTCCAGAGCATGCATCACGAAACGTAGCTCCAGTCAAGGCGCAACTGCCCACCACTGAGACAAGTCGCTGCATCGGTTCTGTGAATGTTCCAGCGCACTGCCCTTGGCGTCCAACCCAAGGAAATCTTCTGCAACAAAAGGGCCGCAAAGGACAACTGCGAAGAAGGGGCCCTCGGCTTTGAGAGTCAAGCTTTGACACCACGTCCTGCCGCTGTAAGTCGTGACCAACAGTCAGTGTGAAAGCTTTGCGGACAGCCACGAGCAACTCGCAAGAACCGATTCCGGAGCTCCTGGCCGTCATAGATCAGTCTGCTGATGTCCACCGGCTTCGACCGTTCTGGCGGCCGACGACCTCAGAATCGCTGGCATGTGCATGCGGGCATGCGTGTTCACGCACCGCACAAGGCGGCGGCCTTCTGCCGGAAGGTGCCTCCACATCCGACGGGACAGCGCGCATGGCACGGCTTTCCAGCTCCGCCATGGCAACGAGGCGAGGAGGCTGAAAGCTCCCGCGAGCTCGGACCGTCCCGTTAAAGAAGGGGCGCCCCTAGGAAACCGCACCGCCCCTAAGAAAACCTCAACGGAATCTGGCGAGGCTCCCACTCCAGACAAGAAGGCGGAGCTTTGGACTACAGGCAAGGCTGGAAAACAGGCCACCCAAGAAAGGTGCTGAATGCTGGGAGCCGGTGAAAGCCTGACGCCGTCATGACAAGCTGTCTCTCCCATATCTTGCACATGATGATACAGCCGAACTCAGGCTTGATTGGCAGATCGAGGAGAGTACTGTTCGACATGCCGAGGCCATCCGAGATCAATCGAAAAGCAGGGGGTAAAGATTTGCATGAGGTGTGACATGTGAGTAAGAATTACCAAAGTCCTTTGGTCCAGGGCCAAGCGCTTCGAATGCGCCAACTAGGCATTCTCGGCTCGGCTTGAAGCCTTCCAGCTGCACCGCTGACAAATCCCGACAGATCCCTATGTTGTCTGCGTAGGAGTACCGGGGAATGCCAACATGTCTGAGATCAACCAACTTATTCATCCACTTATGCGGAGCTGCGAGCGGAAAGAAAGGGAAGTGATCCTAGGTCTGCACACCGCGCCTGCAGGATGGCTTCGGCAGCCCGTCTGCCAGATCGCATGGCTGAGTCCAGCGTCGGCTCCGCGCAGTGGTCCCCGCAGAGATACACACCGCTCTCGCCGAGGAAAGGCTCCCGAGGTGGCCAGAGTCTTCGCGTCTGCTGCGGCTGATGAAAGCCCAAGTTGTAGACTCGCAGCAACTGCCACGTGTCGAGTTCCGAGCCGAGGCCGAAGAGCGCTCTGAGCTCCCCTCGGACCCAGCTCTCCTCAACGTCACAACTTCCACGGATCGTCACAGCAGCAAGATCCCAGCCATCTGGGGCATAGGTAGGCTGCACAATCGAAGGGAAACCAACATTCACGATGCGCGAAAAAGAGCCCTGCGAGTCACTCTGCTGGAGAGTGCTGTTCAAGATGATTATCGGATCCTTGACGGGAGGAGGGGACGGAAGCGCAAAATACCAAGTGCTGCTCTGCGTCCCCTGTGCAACCGAGATTTCCGACGCAAGCTTTCCGGCTGAAGGCCAATCAGCAGCAACAACGACTGCATCAAAGTCCTTCCACTCTCCAGACTCCAAGCGAAGTCCGTTCTGGCGTATTTCAGCCACCGGTGACTGCAAATGTATCATCAGTCCTTCAGCAAGCTGTTCGGGGATAGCTTGCATTCCCGTGGAGGGCAACGAAGTCCCACCATCAGCGAGCATGCGAAGCACAAACTCGAAGCAAGCCGATGACTGCTCTCTCAGCGGCGTCACGTAGATTGCCTCAAAGAACGGGCGCAAGAAGCGCTCGACCAGATTCGACGACAGACACAGAGAGTCTGTGAGGAAGTCCTCTGTACTTATCCTTCTCGCCCCAGCCTTGGAGCTGCGCTCCAGGGCAGCATAGGGCCTCTCGAGAAACACCTGCTTGAGACGCAACATGCCCAAAGAAAGCAAGTCGCGGAAGTTGGCGATCCCGGCTGACAAGGTTTTGAACAAGTACTTCGGGCTCCTGGTAGGGTCTGCGACAATCCGCAAGTCTCCACCACCGAATGCCAATACAGCACCTGGGACAAAGCCTCGCAACCGAAGGCTCTGCAAGTCCAACTGCCTTCGTACTTCCGGGTAGGCCTCGATCAAGATCTGAAATCCCCTGTCAAGCAGAAACGGTCGCTTTGCCGACTCCATTGTCGAACTTTTCGCACCTGAAAGGAAGGGTAAATGATGCTGTCAAAAATGGACACATGTTATATGATATGTCACATTAAGATTCTTTCTTTGATTATGCAGGAAAATATATGTAAGAATGTAACCATATCGATGGACTGAAACTTGTTGTCCGCGCACACTCCACTGCACAGCAGTGCACCTGGCAGAGGCACCATATCGGTGCGAACTCGCCCACCGACTCCATCAGATGCTTCGAAAACCTCGGGATTCAAGTACATGTTCAATTTCCATGGTCCCGAACGATGAGATGATGACTAAAGCATTGCAACAACAACAACAACAACAACAACCCAGACTTGTCCAACCGATGCATGCACCGTGAAGGGATGAGGTCAAAACTGCAAGCCACACTGACCAGACGTGTCCACCCTTCCCAAACATCTAAAAAACGAACTTTTGCAAAACCTGGCTTGCTTTCGCCTCGACGCCAAGCCCAGCACGCCGGAGCTCGCGTGCACATACCAAACCGGCAACGCCGGCCCCTATCACCTGCAGCAGCAGAGTATGTACTGAGATGTTCGCAAAATACAATATAGTGCAATCACTGTACAAGAAGGGGTTGGATGAGAAATGTAGGAGCTACGTCAGCCGGACAACAGCAAAAGCCGAAAATGGAAAAAGCCTTCTAGCTAAGAGAGATGAAGGGTAATTACCCAACGATTCGGGAGTTGGGACATTTAGAAATGTGAGACTGACAGGAATCTGAGAAATGAAGGGTACCCTACGCTGGGAGCTGGAATTGCTTATCCAGCCGATACACTGTCATGCAGTCAGACTCTGAACTTCATGTTGCAGCCTTATAGCCAAGTCACGCCCACATGCCACTGTGTTTGCTTGCCCAAAGCTTCCGCGTTCTGGCTTGTCTGCGCAGAATTCTGTCCAGAACGCATTGTGGGTCGATATGTCACAGGACTCCGGCGCGAACCAAGTGGCCAGCTTATCCAACAGCGCCGGAGATGTATCAATGCCAGAAAAGCCACGACTGAAACACGCCCGACTCGACGGGACATGTACAAGCTACAGCAAGAGGATGCTCTTCATGTCATGTACTACATGCAACCGACGAACTGGAAAGTGCTGCATGGATGTGCTTTGCATGTGTGATGCTTGCAAACAACAAAGCATACGATGCATTGAAGCATCATTATTGTGAAACCAAGGTATACGGCTGTGTTTTCAACCCATTCCACTTGTGAGTTGTAGCTGCACGGCGGTCCCAAGACAATCCGGTCGCTGAGGTAAAGAAACAAAGCAGTTATGTCACCCTCGACGACCATTCAAATACCAGGTCCGGAAACAGCTTGCACGTGCCTGCACCACATCCTGTCTTAGCCAAGATCAGGCGCCCTCGCAGGCATTCACAAGCCTTTACTTTAACGTTCGGGCCTAGCTTCTGTTTCCTGCCGGGTTTGAGGGAGACGGGGGGTGCTACAGTCAGCGAAGCAGGCGAAAGCACAACCCTCTGTTTCTTGGTTGGCGAAATCTAGCCGGTAGCGTCGAAAGGCCGAGTCCGATGTTCGGACCGAACTCATGAATCCAGCAGGTACAGTTTCGCGCGCAGCGGCGTGGGACATCGAGAGCTTCGCCTCCCAGCAGCTCGCGGAGGCGGAGGCGTCGGAGGGCTTCGCCACCGCTGCCGAGGCAGCGGCGGGAGCGGCGGAAGTGGCCACGGCGGCCGAAGGCGCAGGCGTGTTGGCAGTGCTGGGCGAGAGAACCCTGGCTGCTGCGGGCACCGTGGGTGCTGGCGGGCGGCCTGGCCGTCGCGGGAGCAGGTGCTGCCATCGTCGGCACAGCTTGGGCCCGCGTCGCACATGTGGGGTGCCACCACCGGAGGCGGTGCGGACAGCGACGCCTCGCGGCCCTCCCACGCCACCGACGTGCAGACCTTGAACGGAATGCAGGAAAGCGGGGCCATCGACGCACGGAGTCCGAGGGCGAGCCCCAGGCCCAGCCCCAGCAACAGATCCGGGCGCGGCCCGCGAGGCGACCCAGGGCGCAGCCCCAGACGCCCTTCGCCTTAACAACGTCCCCATCCCCGTGTCCTCGGGCAGCGAGCGCGTCAGCAGGCAGTCCCGGCGCGACCGGGGGCCCTTGGGAACTGAGGGCTCAGCCCGAGGCTTCGCGCAACCGTCCTTCGACGCCCTTCGTCAGGCAAGCGAACCGGAAGCTGCATAGGTATAGTAAAGATGGAGAACGTCACCCAAGACGAGCTCGTGAAAAGCCTAGATTACAAGCTCACCACACAGTTGAGAAGCCAATGATCCGAATTCTCTCTGTCGAGCTTGAGGCTGCAAATCCAGGCGCATGTTTTCCCCTCGGTGCTGCCTTTTCTCTCCGTCCCTCCTCCTTTAAAGGAGTTTCGGTGCATATGTACACATGGAATCGTCATGCTCATGTTGAGCTAACATCCATGGGCAGATCGATGAGGTGCAACTACCTTGGCACAGTGCTGAAGCATGCCGAGGCTCAAGTATCTGAGCATCTCATTGTCTGAAAATTGCGACTGGTTGGGGGCATTGTAAGTAAGGTATTGATCCAAATCCAGGATGTCGAGTACACGGCTTCTTGTCTTTCATTTCAACGTCAGTTCGGCATGCGGATGGGTTGTGCATTTGTCCAACAGCACCATCTGAAAGTGCGAGGTGTCGAGGTCGCACGGGTCGAGGTGCAGGCTCAAAGGCAAAACAGTACAGGACAGAGGAGTCTTACGAAGCGATGGCAATTTGCGGACTGCACATAAGCAACAGTACTGTTCCCTTACATCAAATTTCTCGCCAAAAATCCATTTAACTCTACTTCGCCATCAAAGAAGCAGACGCAACAGCAGTCACTGACTCACAACACTCACAGTATTTTTCGGCAGACACTTGCGGATGTGGCTAAACCAACCCTCCCACTACTGCAGCGGAGGATCGTCGAATCAAGCCATGGCAGACTTGGGTCGCCTCTAACAGTTGGGCTCCGGAATCTCAGCGATAGTCCAAAGATATGACGTGGAGACAGACGTGGAGCTCTGATCTGACCACCGATGGCCAAAAAGCAACAACGGCGAAGTCACTTCTCTACCATGTCGCCAAGGACCCTTCCAAAACCTACTCAACCAACACCGCACGTGCACATTGCCTTGCGGCTGGTGTGGATGAAGACCGACGCATCTTACGGCAGTCATCCTCCATACAGGTCTCGATCCATGTCCAACGCTTCAATAATACAACCTCTTCACCAAGGCTACCATCATCTGGCAAGCTGTGGCTAACCCACATCTCACATCTTGATATCCCCCCCTGTGGTTTTTACCATTCTGAAGGTGTCAACTGTAAAGTGTAATAGAACCTAGTCTCTAACTATCCTTTTACCTAGTGATTTGCCAAGCTGCCTTTGTATATGACTGTCAGACCGTGAGACCTTGTCTATCACAATCGCATATATGGCAATGACATACGTCTTGGAGTTTCTGTCGGCTCTTGCGGGGCAATTGCAACAAGTCTTGTAAGGATCAGCGAATCAGTCCGTCGTATCATCTTCCTGACAACCTGAATAATGGGTTTTCGTGGGTGGATTTGTTTTGGGATCGTGTTATGGATTGTTGTGCAGATTGTTGGAGGAGATTTGTGTATTGTGGGTTTGGGGATTTTCAATTAATCTTCAGACCCCAGACCTTGATTCTGGTGAAAAGGGTTTCGAGGCAGGTGATATAGTAGTGAAGGGTATTGAACAGCAACATGACATTGACATTAATCAAAGCCACATAAACAATCCTGTACCTAATCAGCACATAAGCGACAACCAGGCGCTTCCTTGGACGTGCAACGCCCGGCCGCGGAACACAGCGCCTTCCCAAATTGAACTCTCAACGGCTTATGGTTTCTGGCCAGGAGCCAGGACTCTTCTCTGCAAACGAGCCATGTAGGCCAACCACCATGAAGTCGCTGAACCTGAACTGCCAGCCTGCTCCATGTCCTGCGCAGAGCCTCCCAAAGCAGCCCATGCCCGCCTTTGCCTTGTCAGGTCTCATCTAGTCATTGCAAAAATGGCTCACAAGCAAAATTCCAGCACCACAACTGCATGAGCCGTCCGGGCTTTGACTGCTACAGCAGAAGACTCGGCCTGGCAGCCAGCCGACTCACGGTGCAGTCGTGGCGCTGCAGCATGAGCTGCTGCGCACCTGGATCTGTGTTGTGGCATCCCCCATCTATCCCGAAGTTATTTCGAAACTCTAAAGCCACTCACTCTAACCCCATGCTTTGACATCCGGCTTTGTCCGTCTAGGGCTGTGACGCAAGGACTGCTCCACGAGCTTCGCCTCCTGATGCTCCAGGCGCCTCAGTGACATGGAAAGACCTGTCGGCTACCCCATAAGCTCGAGTCACCGGGTTACATCGTGTTACATGGTCCGCACACGCCATGTGATGGGTTATTTGGCGGCCGCCTGTGGTCTGGTCGTGGTATGCTTCCCCCACTCTCGCACGATACTCCCACTCTCCTGTTCAGAAGCGCCAGCTGTCCACACTCCGACATCCAGGCGCTTCGCCCCGCGTCGCCACGCCCGAAGTTTGGATTTGTTTTACTGCCCACAAAAGCCATCACTGTCATACAAATCTCCACTGCATCCCGACCGCAATTGCCAGGTTTTTGAGATGCGAAGACGACACCAACGGTCCCATCCCAATTCGCATCCCACGAGTCGAGGTTCTACATCACAGCAAAGGACGACTCTCACCCCAAATACCCTGTGATCTCAGCTGTCGAGCACCGACAACACGGGATAACTCTGCCAGCCAACAGTTTTTGAACGGTTCGGGGTTCGTTGGGGACCCTGGGACTCCGGATGGCGAATGCCTTCACCCAGACTTCGAATGTCTTGCATGGTGGGGTGCCTGTGCCACCAGGAGCAAATTAGCACTTCCGGTGAATGAGGCTGCAAGGCTTAGTGCGATGCAGCAAGAAGCCCTTGAGGTCGCCCGGCTTAGGCTTACCCAGTTTTCACCATAAACAACCATGACAGTCCGTTGCAGCCAGAGCTGTGTGTGAGCGCCGAGTTCGCTGCTCCTCAAGCCGAAGCCTTTCTAGCGCATGCCTCTCCTGGCCACGCCACAGAACTCCTAGGCAACACTGGTCTCAGTTTCGAATCGGCCCAAACGCCCAATGGGCACGCGAGGAGCCTCCAGTAGTTCCTCCTCCTGGCAAGAGGCTAGAAACGGCTTGCTCCGCCTGCTGCACACTCCCTGATTCAAAACTTTCCAGTGGTCAAAACATGTCCAGGTGAAGCCGGCCATGACACGCGTAATAAGGAATTGCCGCAAGCTTTGCTGTACGCTTGAGTTGCCGGACCTTGTCACCGATTGTTCCGTAGCCCCATCAACCCCCCGGCCGCCTTCGCCTCCACTGCTCGATACTTGGAGGCGCACCACTCCGCCTGAGCCGAAACACTCAACGATCTCGCACATTTCTTCTAGGCTGCAGCAGAAAGCAAACCTTTCGCAACGGTTCGTTGCACGGGGATGCTGCAATCAGCTCACCCGTCAGTTTACCTGAACAATTCGATATCAGATGAAAGGCTCCAACATCTGCGGTCAGACATCGGAAATGCGAAAACAAAAATATCAGCGTGTGCCCCGGTTGCCCGATTCGACGATGACCAGGGCATACTGCGTACAAATGCAAGCGATGGGGCCTGTGCCGTTTAGGGCCTGTATTGGAGGACTCCAGAGCCTGTCAGGCGTTTTGGGGCCGGGGGAACACCAGCTGCAGCTGCGAGTGATTCTCGACACTCCCCAGCCGCTGCCTCCATTCGCTCGGCCTCCTTCTGCAGCTTCGCTGCCTTCGACACACGGGGATGTTGCCAAATGCACCATCGGCACAAGTCCGACACTTTGTCCACTATGGGACAGCGCAGCTTCAAGTCTGCTTGCACACCAACACGTAACCGCAGCTAAATGATAGGAGGCACTCTCTGGCATATGCCAGCTCTGCATCTCTGCCGTGACTTGCTTCACTGATATGGACGTGGCTCGGCAATGGGCATTCGAGGACCCATTCCATTTTCGGCCTACGATCGGGCAATGGGCGAGTCATAATCGGGGTGTGCAACAAAAGCCGCATCAAGCCGCCCTTCCCGACGAGTGCTTTGTGGCCTGCGAAAAAAACTGGTCATGACGAGAGCAACGAAGACGCACGGCAAGCGCCGGTGACATAAGCAGTCATACGTCGTGAAGTCATGCATCCATCGATCATCACTCTGTACTGCTGCATCCTTAGAACAAAGTTTTCTTTTGTGTTCTTCTGTGCAAAATCATGCCAGTATGTGTGCGGTTCTGAGCGTGTTTTTATCAGCTCCTCCCTGTGTTCCTGCACGCCTGTGTGGTTGCCATTACCTCACTGTGCATTGACTGTCAGTCTTAATTTCGTCATAGACAAACATACATCTCCAAAACATCATGGAATCGATAAACCTTTCTACAACCTTTTCAGCCCTCTCCCTAGGAATGCCTCGACGTATCGCTGGGCCAAGCCAAGCTTCCGTGCCTCCAGAGACAGCGAAGCGAAACATTGGAAATCATCCCTCTGGGCTGGGATCAGGCTGGAACACGTTTTAAAGCAAGTGGTGTGCCTTGTGACGCAGATTCAGCGACTCGGCTGAGTGTCGCGGCACGCCGGGCGGTGGTGCCTGCAACCTTGGAGAGAAGCAGGCCCCCCTCCAGCTGTGCGTAGCTGAGCAAAAGAGCGATGAAAGAGCATTCAAAACCTGCGCGAAGCCGACTCCGACCAATCCCAAGCCCTTCTCAAATGCCTCACGTGGAAAGGGAGCAGCTTCCGATCCAAGCCCCAACCCAATCTCTGGCGAGCGCTGAGACCCCCCGACGGCGCCAGAAGTTCGGGTTTCTCTTGCTCTGGGACTTGCGGCCTTCATGGTGAGCGGGGATCATGGGATTGGGTTGGGGATTCTGCTTGTGGCATGGACATCAAGGGCAACTGGGAATTCGGTCGGGTCGATGTTCTGGATAGTTTCCCCTTAGGAAGAGATGAAACCCTTGAGGGGTTAATTCTAGCTTGGGGGGAGTCTGCGTCATGGAGGCGTACTGCCATGTGCTCCGAGCTGAGGTCCGTGCAAAGTCTCCTTCGGAAACGTTGACATGGAGAAAAAATTGCGGATCAGCCTTAGCCACCGCGTCGGGCTGCAACAGATCGTACGACAAGAAACAGCTCAAGCCCGTGCCATCCCATGTCTCAATTCGATCACGACCAGCGTATGCTTTACCGTAGGTGCAACACACCATCAACAGGAGACTGACGACTGAAGATCGCCTGTAACCTGCAGGCTGCCGCTTCGAACCATGGTCCACCCTTGTAAAATTCAAGCGACGTCTCGGTTCCGAAACGTTATCTGAGGCCATCTGAGGCCCCGTCTTATCGCGGGAGGTCTCCTCAACCTGAAGCCAGAGGGCAACGGGGATCGTGAACACCTTGTTGGCTTACTGCGGCCAGTTGCCAGGCCAGCTGAATCGGTTGAATGCGTGACAAAGTCAAGCAGCGGCATTTCTATGGCATTGCAGAGATTGGTATGAGAGGAAAAGAGAAGAGATTTCTGCTCGTTCTGTGTCTCAACAGAGGAATGAACTCTGCAGCGATCAAGTAAATCTGATCTCAGCCGGCCTCTACCACATCGTCCACCGTGATGTTTTCCTCCTCGGCAGCCTCACCAATGCCAACAAAAACGAATGCAACAGGTCGCCAATCTGGTGTTGCTCCCAGATCGTCGATCGCATGCTGTGCTACGCCTCGTGCAGTCCCGATCGCGGAATCACTTACTTTCAGAGTCTTGTGCTGCTACTTATGCTAGTTGTTGTCACAGAAGCATTTCGGTAACTTCCCGAAACTTGAAGCGCTCACCTCACCACCGTCGGAAATGTGACTGTTGATGCCAGAAGCGCAGCAAAGGAGGCTAGCTGGAATAAACCTGCTGCTTGTCTACGCACGGACTTACACAAGCACAGTGGCACTGTGAAGTCCGAACATCCTGATACCGAACATGGAGTCCACCAAACCCTGAGTAAGCATTCCCAAGTTCCCAAGAGGATGTTCCTGCAGGCAGGCTTCAAGGCAGGTGCCACAACCGACACAAGAGGCCAATGACAGAATGGGAGCGATCGCCTCCTGTCCGTCATCCTCGCATCCATCCTCCTGCCACGACTGGCAAAGCTCGGTACACGGCTGCAAACAAATCAGCTTCTCGATTGCTCGGGCGCTTCCTCAATGAGTCAGAGCCAAAATCCAGAAACGCATTGACTTTGAAAATGGCAAACATTTCTTGTGACGCCGTCCTTGCTGGCAGGCATGTTCGCCTCAGAGCACGGAAATCAAAAACTGTTGTCCTTACCCTGCTTTGAAGACAAATTCAGACACACAGTGCCCAACTGCACTCGTGGGCCGCTCGCCTGTCTTTGTCTCAGCTGCCGCCGTCTGCGATGCTTCTCTCCCTGCAGCTACAACACAACCAGAGCTGCTTGCACTCTACTTCGACTCTCTGCACCAGCAAAGTATGCAAAATGTGCCTGGATGACCCTACAGTCAGTGCTGAGGCAAGCCAACGAAGATTGACAAAGCCCCCCCACTACCCCCGACAGGTATCAAGCCTGCAACGCTTTGCAGGACTTATGTGCTTCTTTCAGCAGCTCCTCTTCACGGACACCGACAGGCAAGTTCTCTTCTATATCTGCAAGCGGTCTGGCGCACAAAATCCGAGAAAAGTACGTACTTCCCCATCAACTCCTTACCTTTGAATGTCATGCAGCATGTGCCCGATTTTCTTTACGGAACTCCTGGAACTCTCGCTGGAAGCGATGGCCCATTTCCCGCCGCTCAGCAACAAATCGCGCAGCAGCCGCCTTTCACTACAAGCTTGTAGACCAACTCTCAAAGCTTGGGTGCTGACGTGCACAGAACGACTCCCAGCGAAATGCTTGGCCGCACATACACAACAGCTCCCGAATTACTGGAGTAACCCTGACAACCTTCAATAAGCAACTAAAGGTGCGAACGACAACGTGAGAGGCTTCCGTCAGCCGGCCGTACTCCACGATGGTTTATGTGGCTGTGCTTTGTGAGGAGTGTCACCTACTTCTATGCCTTCCCACAGCTGCAAAGCTTCTCTCCTCACCAATGGGACCGCGATCCTTTTCCATCAAAGCTCTGCTGTCAAGTCGGATCGCCAAATGTCGTCGCTCGCCGACCTGCTAGCGACACTTCGGCACCACACGAAGTATGGTGCCAGAAGGCTGGGGACGTACAATACCTACGCTCAAGCAGGTCTCTTTAGGTAGGCCTTACACGAGATGGGCCTCTCCAAGAAATGTAGCTTCAGGGCATCCAGGGAGAAGTCCCGTCCGGTTTGGCAGAGCTTGCTCAGCTGATGGTATGCTCGCACCAGCCTAGGTGTCCGGGCAAAAACTGGAGCCTCGAAGAGCCTCGAAGGCAGAGTAGCTTCAACTCAAGTGGTCTCGTCGAGTGGCTTCTGGCATCTTGGACATAGACCTTGCGTCTCACCCTCCCAAATGCTCCTGCAAGCTCTCCCACCGGTCATCAGTGCCAATTCTCTGTGCTAGATCTAATGTTACGGCTCCCTTATCCACAGTCTGACACACTTCAGACAACGTCTGCACATCACTTGCACATCACTGCTTTAGGTAATCCTCTGTCCTGCTATGAGGATCTCGGGCACAGTCCAATTCGGCCCTCTGATACTCGGCTGCACAGCTCGGGTTCAGAAGCTTGGAGCAGCTCGAGCCAGCGCTCTCCACCTCGGCCCAGAAAACTCAAGCTGGGCATCTCCAATGAATCCAAAATCAAACATCTGGACTCCGAGCGGCGCCGAAGAGCAGCTCCTCCGAAGGCCAAGGCAGCAGCGGGAACTCCGGCGCGCCAGGTTTTATTGGGCACGCCATCTCGAAACATACCTGGGCATCTGTAGACATGAAAGGCCCTTTCCAGGCTTCAGCAAAGGTCGGGCAGGCTGCCCAACATGAAAGTCTGCAGAGGTCGAAGATCCAAGCTCAAGTCTGTTGCACCACTTGGAACCTGCTTGCCCGAGCAAAGTCGTGCAAAGTTCTCCTTTCGAACCGACAGCTGACTGTGTTCATGCAGTTCCCGCTGTTCATTACTGCGAACTTGAAGTTAACCAGATGTTGACTGGTTGACAAGAAATTTTCGAAGAGAGCAACCAGGATGCAGATTTCCATTACCAAAATACGGAAAACACAGGGCACCAAAACATCCTGTCCTACTTGCCTTGGAACTTGAAAAATGCAAGGAAAAACAGCACAGGCATCTTGACATCGGGGATGCAACCCGGCTCTCCAATCGCAAGGACATGGTCGAAAAGACATCTTGCGGCACAGAATCGCTTGTAAGCGCAAGCTCGCAAAACTGACATTTAAACCCAAGCTGTGTTCGACTGGTCACAGAGGCAAAGCTGCAGAAGTTGTCTTTTCCAGGTTTGCCGAAAAGCCTCCCATCCGTCCTTAGGAGGACGCAAGAACGATTCTCTGCAACTCTGTACCGAGAATGACCTAGATGATGTGCCAGGACCAGGATCCGATCTCACAACATTTCAAGTGCAAGCAAGCATCGCCGCATCTCGGAGAACTGTCAAGCACCTTCCTCTCTCTTCACCTGCATTCTTGCTAACTTACTCTGGCGCCGCAGGAAGGAAAGCTGCTGATGTCAAATTATGGATTGTGTCCAGCCTGCCACACAGTCAGCACGGATGGCAATCGGAAAACCAAGAAGAAGCACGCCACGGAAGCCTGCTGCCATGGTCAGGCCTCTGCCATCAGACTCCCTTGCGATGTTGACGTGCCGTCGTGCTGTAAAGTTCAATGACGCTCTTGGCCTGAGCTAAAACATTCTAAGGCTACCTGGTTCATCTTGGCTTCAAAACCGAATTAGGCATTTTGCGGTGTACGTTCAAGCAGGCAAGCCTTGCTGAGCACGCAGGAAACATCAGGAAACTCAAAAGCATTCATTGGGTGGATGCTCAACACATCCACGGGTGCAACAACTCGAGCACATGAAAAGCTTGGCCTGACGGTGCCAGGCTCGCTCGAGCTGCATCAACCTAACAGCCATTGCTGTTCTATCAACATCACACCTGGACCTGAACAATCATGAGAACAGATTAAATAGGACACACGCAAAAACCGGCTCAGTGTGATGCTCTTTCGCCCTTGCATCCGCAACGGCCGCCTGCACTGCAAGGCTTCGTCGAAGAATTGAACAAGTGAGACAATACCACAACTAGCTTCCAAGCATTTTCTGAAAAGGAAGTGCAGCTGCAGGCCTGAAAATAAAGCTGTTGTTCCACACCTGGCACGCAACAGATGGGACCAATGGGCCATAGGTCAAAACCGAAACCTTTCGTGAACTCGGAAACATTCTCGGGCGCAAGCAGTCTTTGCGATGCGCTTCAAGCAGTTGCCGCGCACGCCTCACATCGATCCCCCAAAGCGCTGCACAAAACAACCTGCAGGCAAACTGCTCTAAAAATATAGCCCTGTCCATTTACGAAGTCCAAAAAACCCACAAACACCATGGCGAATGGTGGAATCTCGCGGAACAGCGCACAGAATGCGGTCCAAGGGCATCCACCGGCAACATGCACAACCTTCATGGTGATCAATCATTCTTGTCACGACAGCGTTAAGAAGCTTGTTCTGGACAGAACCAAAACCTTGCTGTTGCACATCAGTGTTTGCTTCATGTGCGCCATGCACATATTGATCAGACAGCAGCTGATGGCAAAAAGCACTAGTTCCGCACGCCAAGGATCAATTTCGCCAAGGTTGGACAAGCCAAAAGACTAGTGACTAGACTTGACGTCTTCAATGGAGCGCAAAGTCTTTGTTGGACATGCATTGCTACGGATTGCGCCGTCGTATCAATCTATGCCCTGTGGCTATTACCGTCGCGTCGTTATGCAATTATTCCATGGTACTTCTTTGTCAATGTCTTACTAAATCTAACCTAACGGGCCCTAGACACGCAAGCGGTACCTACACTACAGCGAACGGTCGTTTTAGTCAAGTAGTGGTTTTGAGCAGCATTCGAAGTTGTGCAAGCAAAAGCGAAGGTATGCGAAACACTAAGGCCACTCCGCCTAATAAAGCAATGCATTCCAGAACAAACTTCACCTTTGGAATTGTGCACGTGCGGCTCTGCAGGATTTTTACATTGTTTCCGAAATTTTTGCATGTATTGGCCTCGTCGGCAGCGGCTGCACTCGGTCCGTGCAAATGTACAAACTACAAAGCGGTGAAATATACCCCACAAGCGGCGAAGCTTATCGCACAGCCTAGAAAGCACAGGTACCTACGGGGGCTGGGCCCCAGACCTTCGACGAAGGGGGGGCTTAAGGGGGGCTTCAAGCAGAGCTTAAGGGGGGCTTCAAGGAAGGGCTTAAGGGTCACCCCTTTAAGGGGGTCTTAAGGGGG